CCCCATATTTTAACGCTCCACGTCTACACAGCCAGGCTCCGCGTCGACTCCAACAGGGTAGGTAGAAGCCCACACTTGTGCACGCACGCACGCACGCACACACACACACACACACACATTCATAGAAACATGCACACACACACTCAAATGGACACAAACACACAAATACTTTCCACAACAACTAAATTGTGATGTCATTCCTCCTCTCTTTTCCTCGGTGTTCTATCAGCCTCAGAAAGTAACAAACCCTACCTCCACCTCCATCTGATTTCCATTCATCCAGACGGTCCTCTCTGTCCCAGTGTATCTCTCCCAGCTCTTCTCCTTCTCTCTGTCCCAGTGTGTCACCCCCGACCCTGGCCTCTTTATCCGCCCGCTCTCCAGGCCTCCTATTTCATTACCCTGGCCTCCATCTGTAAATAGCAGCATCTCCACTAAAGTGCCGCCACCATTTGCTCAGAGACAATGAGGCTATTTACTCTGCTGCTCGCCGCCGCTCTGCCTCGACCATGCTCCTGCATCTCATATTGACTGTGTGTCCGTGTACCCACATGCTGACGGTCATGCCATGGCCCTGGGGACCTGGACACACACACAGATCTGAAATGTCAGAGGTCAATATTCTGACTGAAACACTTTTTCATTATGCAGTCAAACAGTCTAGGACTACGAATAGGACAGATAGGACAGGGAGTCATCGACGCAAAGGGGAAAGATGTTCACTTTGAATTGGAACACTGGCTCTGCTGGCACAGTGAATAAAATAGACTAGCTAGAATGTGTCCCAAAGGGCCCCCTTGCCTATACCGTGCACTTATTTTGAGTTCTATGGACCCTGGTCAGGAGTAGTGCACTATGAAAGGAATGGGGGGCCATTTGGGACGCAGCCCGAGTGTATTTCTGACTCATTTGCTGTTCTGGGTGTACCTCACCGGAGGAGAGGATAATTGTGGCCTTTTAAAAACTTGACGGGAGAGAGAGAGGGATGAATAGAGAGGTTGGGCTGGAGGAGGAGAGGAGAAGAGATGATTGCAGAGCGATGGAGTGATGGAGCGATGGAGTGAGGACAGAGGGAGTGGGTGGGTGGGAGAGATAGATAGAGATAGGCCGCCCCTTAGGCTTTCTTCTGGAGCTCTTTTCGAGAGGACGATCGAGGGAGCAGCCGATGGCATGCGCGATATCGGACGCCTCGCTAAAGAGAGCGGCAGGCTATGAGAGGCGAGGCGAGACGACGAGAGCGCGAGCGGCGAGAGAGAGGGAAGGCGAGAGAGCGCGGAAGCGAGAGGGAGAGGAGAGAGGACGGGCGCGACGAGCGGCAGCGCGCGCGCGAGAGGGCAGCGAGGGAAGAAAAGCGAGAGGAAACCACAAGAGAGAGAGCGCGAGAGAGGGAGAGGAGAGAGAGAGAGAGAGAGAGAGAGATGAGAAGAGAGAGAGAGAGAGCGCGGATAATCTCTCTCTCTCTCTATCTATCTCTCTCTATCTGCCTTCTCTCTCTCTCTCTCTCTCGCTCTCTCTCTCGCTCTCTATCTCCTCTCTATCATTCTCTCTCTGTCTCTGTGGCTTCCTAGCAGGTGACTAATATTAACATTGTGGGATCGCTCTCTAGTAGAAACTCTGGCAAGCTGGCCCAGCTCTAATAGCTTGGAGCTATCCTGGAAAATATCAGGAAATATACTTGCCCTATATGTCATGTAATATGTTCAGGTGTTTAAATACCAACTCTGTTTTCTTCTCTTTCTTTCTTGGAGCCCTTTGAACCAAACTACACCCTGGAAAACAGCCGCAGAGAAATGTCATTTCCAACAACATGTTGGTTCATGGAATCAAATGTTTTTCTCTCATAACTCTCGTCCAAATTTGATTTCAGATTAACTAGACATATACAGGACCTCTATTGTAAGAGATGTTAATCTCAATGAGAATAATAAATTAAATGAAAAAAAAATGAAGAATATCCTTGACTTGTTAGAGCGGCCTTGTAAAATGAGCATTAGTCCTCCTACACTGGAGTTAATGTTTTTCTCTCCCGTTGTCCCTTCTCCCCTCTTTCCCCAGAACCAATTTATGTACCGGGACGGTTCAGGCTCGGCCCCTGAGGAGGGCCTGGCATCGGGAGGGTCCCCGGCTTGTGTCTCCTCTCCAGATCCTGCAGGCACGCAGGGGGCAGCCCTGGAAGCCCTGGAGGACCCGCGCTGCAACGGCATCCTGCACAAGAAGAAGACCCAGACAAGGCCCGGGGCAGAGGACAACAACGGACAGCGCTACAGTGCTGACCCTACCGTGTTCTTGGGGGACCGGGGTGTGGGGACCCGGGGGGACACGGACGAGGACGGCTACATGACCCCCATGAAGGATAAGACCTCATCAGGTAGGTAGACCATCTAGGGCCGGTTTCCCAGACACAGATCCTAGTCCTGCACTAACTAACACACACAATGAGCTTAATCTGTGTCCAGGAAACCGGACCCTAGACCCTAGAGCCTAGACAGGTCTGGGCCTAAGAGCCAACATCTAGACAAGCCTGAAGCTCCTATGAGGGCTCAGTGAAAAGAGCATAGCTTTGTTTGTTCCTTTGAAGCAGGGTGGAAAAACTGAACACTTCAACAGTTCAACAACAGTTTAACAACAGTTTAACATGGCCTAGTTTTCTGTAGCAGGGGTAGTGTCTTGCTCTGTAGTGTTAGGGCCTACACCACTTCATTCAAAGCCTCAGTATCTTTATTGTCTGTTCAGAGTCTTCATTCACTACTATGTTCACTGTAGCTTTGTCTCTATCATTTGTGAACAATAGCCTATAGTACTCCCAATTTTAGCATAACAGTATGATTCTACATTGTTCTACATCTTTAGATTCCCATTATATTGTATGCTGACTCTGAATGTTGTAAACACCAACTTTAGTTCAGATGTTACAGAATCGCTACTTCGGGCTTTGATCATAAGCTATTTCACTCTGTCAGTCTCATGCAATGTTATCGACTTTGATTTGTGGAGATAAACAAAAGCCCAGAGCAACAAAACTGATGAAATGTCAGGTCTGAAGGCGTAGAGAGGAGGAGTGGAGGAGTGGAGGAGTGGAGGAGTGGAGGACTAGAGGAGTGAAGGGGTGGAGGGGTGGAGGAGTGAAGGAGTGGAGGGGTGGAGGAGTGGAGGAGTAGAGGAGTGGAGGAGTAGAGGAGTGGAGGAGTGGAGGAGTAGAGGAGTGGAGGAGTGGAGGACTAGAGGAGTGAAGGGAGGAGGGGTGGAGGAGTGAAGGAGTGGAGGGGTGGAGGAGTGGAGGAGTAGAGGAGTGGAGGAGTAGAGGAGTGGAGGAGTGGAGGAGTGGAGGAGTGGAGGAGTAGAGGAGTGGAGGAGTGGAGGAGTGGAGGAGTGGAGGAGTGGAAAACTAGAGGAGTGAAGGGGTGGAGGGGTGGAGGAGTGAAGGAGTGGAGGGGTGGAGGAGTGGAGGAGTAGAGGAGTGGAGGAGTAGAGGAGTGGAGGAGTGGAGGAGTAGAGGAGTGGAGGAGTGGAGGAGTGGAGGAGTGGAGGAGTGGAGGAGTAGAGGAGTAGAGGAGTGGAGGAGTGGAGGGGTGGAGGGGTGGAGGAGTGGAGGAGTGGAGTAGAGGAGTGGAGGAGTGGAGGAGTAGAGGAGTGAAGGGGTGGAGGATTGAAGGAGTGGAGGAGTGGAGGAGTGGAGGAGTAGAGGAGTTGGGAGGAGTGGAGGAGTGGAGGAGTAGAGGAGCTAGAAGGAGTGGAGGAGTAGAGGAGTTGGAAGGAGTGGGGGAGTGGAGGAGTGGAGGAGTAGAGGAGCTGGAAGGAGTGGAGGAGTAGAGGAGTAGAGGAGTAGAGGAGTTGGAAGGAGTGGGGAGGAAGGGGGGGAGGAGTGGGGAGGAGTGGGGAGGAGTGTCAGATAGATAGATTCCATCCCATACTGTTATATTGCATGGCAGGCAGCGGTGCAGGACTGGAGCTGCTGGTTCACTGCATGCTGCTGGGAGAGGAGACTGCCAAAGAAAGGGTTGGCAAGGTGGCCTTCAGGTCTTGAGTGTGGATCATTATCATTTTCCATCTGCTCAGTGCTCTTTAGTGAACTATCTTTCGATTCTTGGAGTTGAGGGAGATCTCTCTCTCTTTTTCTCTCTCCATTCTCTCTCTCACTTTGTACTCTGTTCGGTCTCTTTCTTTCTCCTCTCTGTCTCTCTTCCTCTCTCTCCGCTCTCTGCTTCTCTTCTCTCATCCGTCTATTGTCTCTCGGTTATGTCGTCGTATCTCTCTCTCTCTCTCTCTCTTCTCTCTCTCTTCTCCTCTTTTCTCTCTCTCTCTCTCTCTTTATCTCTCTCTCTCTCTTTATCTCTCTCTCTCTCTCTCTCTGCATGCTGGGAGTGTTTGGTGCGTGCTGGGAATTGTTTGAGTGAGTGCTAAGTGCGAGTGTTGTGTAGAGTTAGATATCCTGGGTTTTCCTTTTCTTGGTGATATCCTTTTTTCTTCTATGCATGATTAAGGTTATTATTTCTATTTTTTTGTTGTGGTTAAATTAAGTATATTGTTTTTCGTGTCGAAATTACCCTGATTTTGGTGGGGATGGCGGCCCGAATCGGGACGCCGTCCCTGTCACTTCGGCACGGCTTTAGGTGTGTTACTGAAGCTACTGTCACGGTGGAAGAGGTTCTGGTCGCCGTAGGAGAGAAGGTAGGATATGAGAATGTTGCTTATGCGTCACGGATGAATAAAGCGGTGGTGGTATTTCTTAAAGAAGAACGCCTTGTTGATCGTATGGTTGAGCATGGCATACTTCTTAAAGGAATGTTTATTCAAGTTACACCGCTTTTTTCTCCGTCAACAAGGGTAACGATTTCAAATGTACCGCCGTTCATTCCAAATGAGCTATTGGAGCGCGAGTTATTGCGCTTTGGGAAGTTTGCAAGTTCAATTAAGGTTGTCCCATTGGGTTGCAAACACCCGGCGTTGAAACAGGTTATGTCGTTTCGGCGACAGGTGTTTATGTTTTTGGACTCACCGGAGCAGACTTTGGAGTTATCGTTTAAAGTCAAGTATGACAATAGACTGTATATGGCTTATGCTAGTACGGGTAGTCAACGGTGTTTTGAGTGTGGGGATGTTGGTCATAAGCGACATGCTTGCCCGAAAAGGGAGAAGGCAGAGGGAGGGGCGCAGGTGGTCCTCGTAACGCCTGGGCCCACTGATGTAGGAAGAGGTGGGCTGACAGTGGTAGAGCAGCCACACGCATCTGTTGCTGAGGAACAAGTTGTCCGTGTTGAGGGCACAGAGGTGCAACTTGTACCAGAGGGAAATGTTATGCAGCAGAAAAAAATTGTTGTAGAAGGTAAGGATGGATCTGAAGGGCCATTTCCTCAGACTGGTGAGGAGGTGCCCAGTACGAGTGCTGTGGTACAGGAGGGGGTACATGTGGAGCTAATCTCCCAGGTAGTGGAGGAGATGCCCACTATAAGTAATGGGTTACAGGAGAGGGTTCATGTGGAGCTCATCTCCCAGGTAGTGGAGGAGATGCCCACTATGAGTGCTGGGGTACAGGGGGGGCTAGTCTCCCAGGTAGTGGAGGAGATGCCCACTATGAGTGCTGGGGTACAGGGGGGGCTAGTCTCCCACGTAGTGGAGGAGATGCCCACTACGAGTAATGGGGTTCAGGTGGGGCTAGTCTCCCAGGTAGTGGAGGAGATGCCCACTACGAGTAATGGGGTTCAGGTGGGGCTAGTCTCCCAGGTAGTGGAGGAGATGCCCACTACGAGTAATGGGGTTCAGGTGGGGCTAGTCTCCCAGGTAGTGGAGGAGATGCCTGGTACGAGTGATGGGGTGCAAGTGGGGAGTGTTGAAAGGGATGTGGTAGAGGGGAGTCAGTGGTCTGTGGCCTCAGTTGAGGAGGATCAGGAGAAGGATATGGATATCTCTCTTGATACGATATCAGCTGGTGAGGACTCAATTTACGATCTAGAGGAGGTAAATGGGTTTCTGGATCAGACTTTTGGGAAATCCGTCAAATTGGCAGATTATTTTGATGTTAAGTTTGTGAGGTCAGCTGTGATGTTACAGAAGACGGTGGGGTTAGACCAGTTGAGTGAGAAGAAGCGGTTTCGCTTGAGGAAATTTGTTACTGCTGTTGCAGCAGCAAAAGGTGGTGGGAAACGTGGTCAGGTTAAGAGAAAATTTAAATAATGATGATGATTATGCCTCATAGGGTGTTCTATTCTCTTTGTCTGGTTTCTCTGTGGTATCTTCTGCTTTTCCTTTTTCTTTTCTATATGGAGGTACTAAGGGTAGGTTCTCTCTCTCTCTCTCTCTCTCTCTCTCTCTCTCTCTCTCGCTCTCTCTCTCTCTCGCTCTCTCTCTCTCGCTCTCTCTCTCTCTAGACAATCTGAATCCGATCGAGGAGAACCCATTCGTGGCGTGGCGCAAGAACGGAGAGGTCCACGCGCTGGACAACCCGGCCTACAACAGCACGCCCAACAGCCAGCCCAAGGGGGGTGAGGACGAGTACATCAACGAGCCTCTCTACCTCAACACCTTCCACAACCCCGGAGACCTGGTCCTGAGAAAGAACGGTCTCCCATCGCAGAGTACAGCCTCGACTATCAGTACTGGCTCCTATCCCCAACTCACCATCCAAACTGGCCTTCCTTACTACCCTATCGTACCGACACAGAGCTCCCCTTCTGGAGTGCAGGGAGGCTTCCATCACCTACCGCCGGGTCACCACATTCACACGCTCCACGGTGTTAGTGTCAAACCTGGCCCCTCGGCCCTTTCTGGCAACTCACCACAACGGGCCCACCTGGGCCTTCAGGCCCACCAGTCCCACCTAATCCAGTGTGGTGGTGGACCCTCTGCCACCCAGGTCTGCCACCCTGAAAGGTCAAGTGTCAAGAAAGGTCCCATCTCCAAGTCGGCGCCCGAGGACCAGATAAGTGTCATACCAGCCTACCAGGGGCACACCACCCACCCTGGCAGTGTGCTGAAGCAGGGACAGGGGCACCAGACGGGGGGCAAACCGGCAGGCAAGAAGCTCAAGGTGACCTTTGACAATCCAGAGTACTGGCAACACAGCCTGCCACCCAAGCCGTTGAACAGCGGTACCAACCAGCCGGGCAGCACCCCTGAGGCGGAAACCACCAACGGCAAGTTGTTCTACAAACAGAACGGCTGCATCAGGCCGGCAGTGTCCGAAAACCCTGAGTACATATCAGAGTTCTCGTCAAATCTCAAGCCGGGCACGGTTCTGCCGCCTCCCCCGTACCGGCAGAGGAACACAGTGGTGTAGAACCAAGGCCCCAACCCCCCTTCCTCCAGCTCCTGGACCAGCCGGTACCCAGCGTTCTTCGGTTCCTCTGTCCCTTCCTCAGCCCCACAAACAGCAACGAGAGCCTCCCCAAAACCCCCTCCCCACGACATCCCACCATCCATCACCTGAGCTAACTAGCTAACTAGCTAACATTCTCCAGAGAAGGAGCTAGCACACCCTACTCACAGTACCACCAACCAACACGCTACCAGGCTCCACCTCCTTACCTCCACTCTAGCCCCTAACTGGTACAGTAACAACAGTAATAACTACTATAGGTAAAGACCAGTGCTAGCCACGTTAACCTCTGACACTGTATATAAGCTGGATTGGCAGCAGTGGTGGTGTTTGTGAAAGGAGTATCGAGGAGCCACGCAATATGGAGGTAGCATGACCATATGTACTGTTCTCTACACAGACATGTACGGTCTCAGGACTCTCAGGACGGTACGAGGGAACCACGACGAGGAACGCAGATGGACAAGATGAAGCGTGTCGACCAAGAGGTGTTATACCGACCACAGTGTTTTACATGACTGCTGTTGCGATAAAATTAACTGGAGTGAGAGAGATGGAAAGACAACCAACCACTACTGTATGTTTAAATGTTCCTCACAAAGGAGCTACATATTGTAGATATTGCATCACCACCACTTCAGTGTTACTCACCTCTTACAGTATTTACGGTAACTAACTCTGTGGTGACCAAGCCTTGTACCATTTTTATTTTATTTTCACAATTATTTATATAATGTGTTTGAAACATCAACTACTTACCTGTATGTACAACGCAGGTCATCCATTGGATTCTTTTTTTTGGTGTGGCGTTCACTGTTACGTTGTTCACTTGAAAACTCTTATCACGTCTAAAACTAGTGCAAACCACGTGGGTAGCTTAACTTGAAAACTCTTATCACGTCTAAAACTACTGTAAACCACGTGGGTAGCTTAACTTGAAAACTCTTATCACGTCTAAAACTAGTGCAAACCACGTGGGTAGCTTAACTTGAAAACTCTTATCACGTCTAAAACTACTGCAAACCACGTGGGTAGCTTAACTTGAAAACTCTTATCACGTCTAAAACTACTGCAAACCACGTGGGTAGCTTAACAAATAACCCTGTAAAAGTTCCTTTATCACTGGCTTCAATGGAATGACATAGGTTTTTTCTCTTTTTTTTTCTCTATAATGTCTCGAAGAGATTCATCACTGCGAGGAAATGAGGTTATGCAGATTGTGGCCTGACACAGGGACACAGAGTTTGTAGTAACAGTTTGCAATGCAAATGAGAGGGTAATGAGGAGTAGCTGTAGCATCAAAAATAGTCTTCGTTATAACGCTCTACGGTCTGGATAATGATCAGTGGCTGAGACGCAGAGAGAGGAGGTGGAGGGTGTCCTTCCTAGTGGAGACCTGGATGAATGGATGAGACAGCGACAGCAGGCCAGAGAGAGAGAGATCAATACATGGATAGACAAACAGACAGTGAGACAGACATAGATCCATAGAGACAGATTCACAGAGAGAGAGAGAGAGAGGGAGACAGAGAGACAGAGAGAGAAAGAGACAGAGACAGACAGAGAGAGAGAGAGAGAGAGAGAGAGAGAGAGAGAGAGAGAGAGAGAGAGAGAGAGAAAGAGAAAGAGACAGAGACAGAGAGAGAACGAGAGAACGAGAGAGAGAGACAGAGACAGAGAGACAGAAAGAGAGAGAGAGCTCCACAGGGAAGGAGGGAGGGTGGTAGTCATGTTGTGTGGTGGATGATGGAGGTAGTTTAACCACAGAACTAGTCCTCTATAGAGGTAGTAGTTTAACCACAGAACTAGTCCTCTATAGAGGTAGTAGTTTAACCACAGAACTAGTCCTCTATAGATGTAGTAGTTTAACCACAGAACTAGTCTTCTATAGATGTAGTAGTTTAACCACAGAACTAGTCCTCTATAGAGGTAGTAGTTTAACCACAGAACCATTCCTCTATAGAGGTAGTAGTTTAACCACAGAACCAGTCCTCGATAGAGGTGATGCTTCACTTAGCTAAGCCCAGTGACAGTTGAGACACATCAGCTAGCCTCCTCTCTCCCCCTGACAACTCTCAGTTCACCTCTATACAGCGATAGGATTACCAACTCCTCATGCTAAATCCAAAATGTCAAGTTCCAGAGATTTGACACGGAATCTTCTTGTGTGATTCGCCGCAGGGCTCTCCGTTACTCATGAGCCGAGGGCTATGTGAAGAAGGGTCAGTTCAGTTTTCAATTCAGCAAATACAAATTAAATTCATGACTTAAACATTGCCTTTTATTAATTAACTCGATTGAATTGAAAACTGATCTGACCCCAACCTTAATGTGAAGGGTATAACTAGTGCCAAATGGAAAGGCATGTGTAACTGACCATTTAGAATAAATAGTGAAATAGGAACTTGTACTAGGAACAGTTACCTGTACTAACTTGTACTACTGATGCCTCATAAAAACCTATGAGAATACTGCCAGACAGCTTCTGCTGCTAAGTGGAACGTCCATGACCTCTTCAGAGTCATTTGCTTACACTGCTTTTACGGAGCCGTGCACGTTCATTTGTCATTTCCAACTCGATTTACTTGGTCTATATTTCATCATACAGTGTAAGGAGACGTGTCCCAGCTGTCCTTGTGGCAGTGAGGAGGGAGTGTTATTTATATGTGTTTCTACTGCACTGTGGGTGTCCATATGGAGCACTTTGATCAAACTAGCAGGAAGTGAAAAATATAAAAAAGAACGTGTGTTTTTTCTTAGTTGCAATCATCGGCACTACATGATTATTTAAAATGCATGTCACATTCACGCCTACAAGGTTGAGATATGTGAAGGAAATATAATAGAGAGAAACTTCAGGTGAAGGGACATACTGAAGTACTTTATTTATTTATTTACTTCCTGTATTTCTATTGCCTCTGGTTATGAGGATGATTATTTTGTCCTGCCTTTGGACCCGAATAGTTCTGGAAACTGGAATCATCATTTAATTTCAATGTGAAATATTAATGTTGTGTTTTCAACTTGTTTTTCCCAAGGACGAAAATGAGAGATTGCAGATTCTATGATTTTCTAAACCAGTGAAAAAACAGTCTCTCTTTTTACGGTGTTCATATTAGGACAGCCTGTTATGACCCTGAGCCTGTCCTGTTACGGACACCATAGCTGCCGACAGTTTGGCTCAATATTAGCCGTCCACCATTTTGTTCAAATAGCAACACCCGTTTTTGACGACTCTTTATCTACCAGAAAACAACATCTGTACTTGGTTGTAATCTTGTAATATGACGTTCAACCAGATAACAGCCAACTTATGCCGTCTTTCTCAGTCGTCTTGAAGTTGAGGTCTTTACCTGGTTGGAAAGGTTGAAAAGGTTTTGGCCCCTTAGTATTTTCCTATAGAGTATGTAGCTGGAAAGTATTCTAAGACACAATCAGCAGCACAAGTACTGTATCCTCCACCACTGCAGTGGAACTGTATTAGCTGTGTACTGCCTGTACCTAATACTATATCATTATGCATGATACCGCAATGTGAGTGCTATTGCCCTTTACCCTGAGTATTTGTTAGTTCAATTAATAGTATTTAAAATTTTTGTCCTGTTTGAGGGACAGCTTCTCTTGCTGTTTGGAGGAATGAAATCAGTAGCACAGATTCTGTAGGAACTTCCTGTTGTTAAGGTAAAACACACCATGGAAAGGTTTAAGTGTTTAATACCTTACACCACTGTATACCGTTCATTCACAAACATACACACCTACTGTCAAATATAGGATTCATCTTTACTGTTCAATATAGGAATCATCTTTACTGTTCAATATAGGATTCATAGTCATCCTGACTTCTACTGTTAATTTAGTCATATTTATTATGTCCGATGTTTTGGTCTGCCAATGTTTTTTTTAAACATTATTTTAACATATTCAAAAAGACTTAAGCATATTTAGATGTTTATTTTATTGTGTCGATAAAGTGTATTTAATAACATGAATTAGGGTTTTTATAGCCGCAACACACGTCACCTCATTCAGTATTATCTTCAGATAATATTTCAATACATCCTAAACATTTTACACAACCTTAATTACATCTTAATTGCACGAATTGTCGTATTAGAGTAGACTCATTCTTTCGGTAAAATGTTTGTGTTGAAATTGATATACCAATCGAACCAATGTAATTGTACAGTCATTTGGACTTTCCTCCAGATTGAACACACTATTGTCCCATTACAAAAATGTGAATAGTATTTTTATAAAGCACTGAGATGAGGCGACCCGCTGAAATGTGTACATAGAGGAGGAGAATGCTTTGACTTTTTAGCACTTTTCTCTCTGTATCAAGTTCATTTCTTCTTTGTTATTTTCCCTTATTATCTGTTTACCAGGTGTCAGCGTTAGATATGACATAGCTTCTGGGTGTACAGTAGGTGTACTTTGGGTAGTACATTTTTATTTGAAATGTAAAACACCCCTGTTGGCCACTCGCCTGTGAGACTGGCTAGTTGACCTGTATTTAATATCTGTGTTGGGGTTAACAATGGTTAATAGCTTTGTTTTCCCCAACCGTCTCTCTCTCTCTCTCTCTCTCTCTCTCTCTCTCTCTCTCTCTCTCTCTCTCTCTCTCTCTCTCAATTCTTCAGAGCAGAGTGTTGCCAACTCGACCTGACAAGATATGTTTCTGCCCATTTTCTATTTCAGTCTTGTGCTATCCAGTCCATCTATCTGCTCGTTTATCAGTCCAGTGTGGAAATGTACATTCACCCCTGAGCCAACATTTTCCATGATTTCCATGTTCGAAGACATCAAGGAAGATGTAGAAATTGAGATCAGTATCGTGAGGCACCTCCCACTTAACTGGCCTGTATAGTATGTGAACAAAAAGTACTAAAGTTATTTTGATGTAATGTTTGATTTACCTGCATGCTTATTTATAAATGTAGTCAAACACTGACAGAGAC